GGCCTGAAGCCGCTTACCTGAGGCTGCGTCCAGCGCGCGCGCTGCCTGCGCGGTGACTTGTCCCGGGAGCCTGGTGCGGGCCTCGGGGTCGGCGCTCGGCGGGGCAGCGCAGGCCGCGGACAGCGGGCTGGGCGCGGACCCGCGCCGCACACTTCCACCTGCGGGTCCAGGCGCGGAGGGAGAGCCCCACGGTATTTACAGGAGGAGGCGGTGCCGCGAGGGCGCGGCGGTCTGGGGACGGCGAGCAGAGCAGAGCAGAGCAGACTGGCGGGAGCTGGCCGCTACCGGGTGCTGCCCTTCGGGGGCTGGAAGAGCGCCTGGCGTAGGAGTGGATAGTGAGGGGCGGCCTCTCCGCCCAGGGCTGACGAACTTGGCCGCTTCCACGCCCGTGACCGTGTGCGCATGGAAGCCGGGGAAATAGGCACCGTCGCCGCCTCCCTGGCCTGCAGCCCGGGGAGAATCGCGGCGGCGAGTTGGGGTTTTCCTCCTGGCTGTCGGAACTGCGCGTTGCGTCCGCCGAGATCCCGGCGGTGGGAAGGGAGCGGTTCCCTTCAGGACTAGGGCCCTGGATTCGGGGAAAGGGATGTGAGAGATGAGAGAGGGAAGTGTCTGCCCCCTACCTGCGTGGCCACAGCCTAGGCAGAATGGGGTCCCTGTGTTCCCGCCGCCGCGCCCTCGGCCACAGTCCGAAATGGGAAAGGTCTACTCAGGGACCATGTGGCCCTCCTGCCGCTCCGCAGACTTTGACTTGGGGGTCACTGGAGCAAATCCCTCGCTGTGAGCTCCCCGACGAACAAGTTATGGAGACACCAGGTCACAGAAGAGTGCGCTCCATTAGAATGTGAAACAAGGGCCGTCCATACCCGAGCCGTTCAGATGTGAAATCCTAGCTCCGAGACTGAAGCAGGCCCCGGGCCCACTCCATGCCGAGGCAGTTATGCTCACAACCCTCCTTGGTCGTTAGTACCCGCTCCTCGGTTCTCAATCGCTAATGATTTGCCGAAATTAAACTGGTAACTTTCCCTGCCCTTGAAACGGGAGTTTCGGGATGGGTTTGCTAATCCCCGTGCTATTTGTAACCTGCTTGTGACACGTGACACGAATCCAACTGTGTCAGTTTCCACACCAGAGGTCAGGGTGCTGTAAAATGTGAGTAAGAGGCTCGCTCGGCCCAAGGTCGGGAGCTCCAGGAGTCCTGGGGACTTCCCCATCCCTGCCACTTATTCCTCACTTCCTGTCCACTTTGAAACTCAGTCAAGAGGCAACTCCAATTGCATTAACCTTTTTAAAGTAACAACACTTTACATACCTAATAGAGAAAGTTGTTCACAGTAGTTCTCCTTGAGGGTAAAGAGTGAGTTAGGTTTTAGCTAATTACCAGAGGTGAGAAGTGTAAACTTTCAAAGAGGGAATCAGAGGGAGACAAAGAGGGAAGGGATGGTTAGTTGGGCTCTGAGGGCTGGAGGTCTGGGTAGTGAGATGGGGCTTCAGCAGGGAGGCATACGAGACAAGTTCCAGCATTGAAATTTGCTGGGGGCACTTGCCCCAGCAAACAAATGTGGCCTTTTTCACAGTTAGCATGCCCTGGCCTCTGTGAATCTCTGCCCTAACAAAGAGTGCGGGTTATGACTGTAATAAAGAATTCAAACCTCATGACTCCATGCTCCCAGCAGATTCTGTGTTACCTGCTTTACCTACAGCCTATGGCTCTTTACTGTGTATCTCCAGCATCTCAGAGAAGGCTGGATTCAGAGGGGATAGGAGAGTCATTTTTCAGTTGAGGAAACCGAGGCCCAAAGACATAAAGTGAGTCCACAGCTGGTTAATGTGAACCAGATGTACTGACTCTTCACTGTTCCTCCTGCATACACCTGTCATCCAGAGGACACGCAATGCCACAAACTCAGAAAATGGCTTTGTATTATGTGGCTTTTAGATCATTATAACAGCACAGGCACTGTATCCCAAGGATATTGCAGCAATCTATGTCCAGGGTGAAGATAATCCTGGTCAAAGTGACAGGATATACCACCTTCTGGAAGGGCCTGAAAGTTTACCTAGCTAATGAGCGGATAACCAGCAGTGGTGATTGCGCAACAGCTGTGGGCACTGGGCTTTCTAAGACCTCAGGCCTTGACGTTAGAATTTGCCGTCTCTACACCGGCCTGATAGTAACTCCTATTTAAAACTCTGTCTCTGGTCTTGTCGTGCGTGGACCTGCAAGGAACCTGTTGATATAGCTGCCCCTCTGGTGCCAAGTGACTGTGGGCTGCCACACATGGCAGACTTGAATGTGCCGGCACCAAGGACAATCAGATTAGCTTACACTTGGAATACCTGCTGCTTGGATCGTTGGTGTCTTTTGGAGCCCTTTTGACTAAATTAAATTCCATGGCAACCAATCATGGGTCAAGTATAAAAGACATACCTATCAGCCTTCAAGGTGCTTGTCTTGGTAGCAGACTTATTGTTAGGAAGAGACTGGATGCCCTTGTTATTATCTAAAGCCAAGTGGCCTTTTCCAGCCTGTGTGGTAGTGAAAAAAGATAAGCCTAGACAGAATCCTTAAAAAATGGCACCAGAACAAGCTTTTAAAAATAAGTGAACCTTGAATTCAGGAAGTAAATACAGTTAAGCCAAGGCAAGCATTCGCTTATTCATTTGGCAAATATTTGAGTTCCGGCCATAAGCCAATAAACAAAACAGAAAATCCTTTGCCCACGTGGAACTTATATTTTAATGAGAAGGAGAAAAACAGTAAAAGAAACATAAATTATACAGAGTATTAGAAGGAGCTAAGTTATTAGAAGGAGCTATGGAGAATCAGAAATCACAGAAAGAAACTGGGGAGTGCTGGGGAGATTTCAATGCCAATGAGGTAGTTCAGGAAAGCATCTCCGAGAAGATAACACAGCAGCAAAACTTGAAGGGAGTGAGGAAGCAAACGTATTGATAAACTATTATCGCATAACAAATTATCCCCAAATTTAGAAGCTTAAAGCAGCAAAGATTTATTCTCTCCCTCACTTTCTGAGGGTGAGAATCTGGGAGGAGCTTAGCTGAATGGTTCTGGCTCAGGGTCTCTCAGTCAAGCAGTTAGCAGGGGCTACATCATCTGAAGATCTGACTGGGGTGGCTCCAAGGGGGCTCACTCCCACGGCTGTGGGCAGGAGGCCTCAGTTTCTCACCATGTAGACTTACCTACAAAGCACCTGACTGTCCTCATGACTTGGCAGCTGGCTCTCCCTAGAGTAAGTGACTTGAGAGAGAGAACAAGTGAGGTAGAAGCTGCAGTGCCTTTTATGAAGTAGTCTCTGAAGCCCCACATCATTTCTGTTTGTGTCCTAGTCCTTAGAATTGAGTCACTAAACCAAGAGGAGCGGAATTAGGCTCCACCCCTTGAAGGGGGAAGCATCAGAGAATTTGTGAACATATGTTAAAACTATCACAGAGAACTACAATGATATTTTGGGGAAGAAAGGAAGAGTACTTCAGGCAGAGGAAACAGTGAGTCGAGTGCAAAGGCCTTGAGGCAGCAGCAGGCATGTTCAAGGAAAAACAAGAGGCCAGGGCGGCTGGAGCAGGTGAGCAAGGGGGAGAGGAGCAGAACAGGGGATCAGAGAAGGAAGGTAGGTGTGTGTGACCACACGTGCCAGATTGCGTAAGGCTTCGTGGGCCATTATAAGTATTCTGAGTGAGACGGGAACCTTTGGAGGGTTTTGTTGTTTAGTGGAGTGTGATGTGATTTGATTTATTTAAA